GAATCCCATCCTCTCCTTGTGCCTCCTGCCCCAGAAAATGAGCTGAGGTTGGAGAGCAGGGAGAACACATACCCCCTGCAGAACCTCATGGAAGAGGCTGTTTTCAGTGTCTCCACGGCACAGGAATCCAACGGGGATGAAAACTTCCAGAGATCCCACATGAGGATGAGCAGCATGCCAAACCCAGGGCTCTCTGAGGGGGAAAGACACACTCTGTGCCAGGAAGGCACCCAGAGCTTCAGCTGGGACTTGGAGCTGGGGGTCCTTGAGGAGCTTCATGGCAGGGAGAAGCCCAACGAGTGCTTGGAGTGTGGGAAGAGCTTCAGCCGGCGCTCCACCCTGATCCGCCACCAGCGGACCCACACTGGGGAACAGCCCTACGAGTGTGGGGAATGTGGGAAGAGGTTCAGAGAGAAGTCCTACCTGATAAGGCACCATCGCACCCACACTGGGGAGAGGCCCTACGAGTGTGGGGAATGTGGGAAGATCTTCAGTCGGCGCTCCCACCTCATCTCCCACCAGCGGACCCACACTGGGGAGAGGCCCTACCAGTGTGATGAATGTGGGAAGACCTTCAGTGACAGCTCCAGCCTCCTCTCCCACCAACGGATCCACACTGGGGAGAGGCCCTATGAGTGTTCTGAGTGTGGGAAGAGGTTTCAGAACAGCTCCCATCTCCTCAGGCACCAGCGGATTCACACAGATGAGAGGCCCTTCCGCTGCCCCGACTGTGGGAAGGGCTTCAAGCAAAACTCCCACCTCATCAGACACCACCACATCCACACTGGGGAGAGGCCCTACGAGTGTCCCCAGTGTGGGAAGAGCTTCTCCACGAGCTCTGACTTGACCCGACACCAACGGAGGCACCGGTGAGGGAAGTCCTTCCAGTGCCCTGACTGCAAGAAACGCTTCATCTGCTGCTCCAACTTCATCCTCCATTGCAGGACCCAGTTTGGGAAGAGCCCTGGTGACCCACATTCCCAGTGATCCACATTGGGAAGACACCTGACCCTTTCTCTGTCCCTGGGACTTATGTAGGGTGGATGGAAGAACAAGAGGGTCTGGCCATGCCCCTGTCATTATATCTGATCCCACCTC